CACATTCATAGGTGTATGCTGGCATTATGTTGTGGTCCTATGGGGAAGGAGAGGGCCTTAAAAAGTGAGCTATTTTGAGAGCTAAAAAGCCAAAAGTGGGATAAAGGAGTGCAACTTCTGTCTTGTGGGTTGTATGAGTGGACAACTCCATGGGTCTGCCTCCTGGAAATAGCCTAGGATATCTGACCTTTATGAGATGTACAAGTCTAAGAAAAGGTCTGAATTGACTTGACAGTCGGGTGAAGGCTACCTTAGGGAAGTGGCATTTTATGGGGCATTAGAAGATAAGATGGTGCCCCCTCCGCCTCTTCTTCAGTAACTTCCTCACTGGTCTTCCTGACTTCATCTTGCTTCCCCTGAATCCACTCCTGAGTTGACTGACAAAGGGATATTTTTAAAAAGCAAGTTGGATCATGTCATTTTCTGCTTAAAACCCTTTAGTGGTTCTGTTATTCATGGGATACAGTTAAATCTTTCGACTAACATCAAAATTACATCTCCTCCAATTACATATCTGATATTAAAAATAAATATCATGGCTAAAAACTAATCAACTTTGATCATGTCTTCTCCAACTACACATTACCTCTTGGAGATTCTTCATGATGATCCCCCAGGTCAAAGTCACAGCTGCAGTTATACTAAATTGCTTGTCCTCTATACACATGTATGCCCCCCTCCCACTTGTTTTTATTCATGCTATTGCCTTGGCTTGAACTATTCTTCCCACTGTTCTCCACCAGATTGGCTAATCACTTTAAATGCTTCAGCTCAGGCCTCACCCCTGACAGGAAGACCTACCTGCTTCCTGAATTCCCTGCTTTTCTTCAGGACAGATTCCCTGACTAGCATCTTGTGCTCATCTCTATCACCACACTGTACCATGTGGTGCTCTTCTGCTCCATTCAGTTTAGTGGAGGGCAAGTGCCATTTCAGTCAACTTGGCATGAACAGGGTCCTATTAGAAAGGGAAGGGCCTGTGTACTTGAGGCAGGGAATGCAATATGAACAAGCAGAATTGGGGATCTGTTTCGGTTTGGGAATCAACAGTATCCAGAAAGTTTGGGGGTGACCATGCTTCTAGAAGTTTTCATAGTTGAAATAATTCCATCTGGGCAATGTAGAAACTGAGATCCAAACAATGAGAAATATCACCCAAATTACTTGGTCACTGAGAAGGCAGGCTCTTAGTGACAAGTCCTATGTATTTTTCTACTCCATATTGGAAAGAGGAAAGACTGAAGTTGGGTGCTCTTGTTTTCCTAATTTTTAGACAGGAGCCTCTGATCTGCTGGCACCTCCTGCCTAAATGAGAAGGTGACCAAGACTCTTTATCCTTTAACCTGAGGCTGGTGACAGTGCTTTGGGTCCCTCCCTGGGAAGGGTGGGTTGGGAGCTGATGACAAAGAGAACCCACCCCACCATTCCTGCAAAGGCTCTGAAATCCCTCCCCTCTTTTCTGAAGCATTTCTACCAAAAGACACAGCTCCCCATGGCCCAGACAAGAACCTTTGCTCTTTAGATCCTAATACAAAGATTCAGATTGAAAGAGTGGAGGAGGCCATTTAGCCAGTAGGTGTCAAACCCAGAGAGTCATCCCAGACCCACAGTAGTAGAATCTCTAGGATAAAGAAATTCTCATTGGGTCCAAACTCCTTTTACAGTGAGTCTCAGACAGTAAGCAGTCTATCCTGGGTCACACAGAGTCAGGGCGGTAGTGGATCTAGAACTGAGGCTCCTGACATTATCCCATTGGGCTCTCTTCAGGACATAATTCTCAATGCTACATTTTGCACACAACAGGTGCTCAATAAACATCTGTTGGGTCATTGATCTGCAAAAGATTTTCTAAGACAGTGAGGGTAAAGAACATTAGTTTTGGAGTCAGACAGATCCTTCTGTGGAAGACCACTGGCAAACTTCAGTCTCCTTCACTGTAAAATAGGACTAACAACCATCTCAAAGGTCGTCAGTGAGAATTAAATGGGATATCCTAGTAAAACCTCAAGCCCATGCCTGGCACAGAAAAGGCACTTAATAAATAGTAGTGGTTATCAGTAAGCTGTGGTATAGTGATAAGAACACACACTCTGGAACTAGGCTAGCCCCACAACTTAAGATGTTTGATGCTGCAAGGTTTCTTTGCCTCTGTTTTCTGCATCTGCAGAAATGAGGATGTCAGTGAGGACAAAATGAATCAATATACACAGAACACTAAGAGTAGTGTCTAGCACAAGGAAATGAGTGTGTCATGTTAGCTCTAATAATTATATTCTATCCCTTGAACTGGACCTAAGCATATTAATCAAGTTCAGCCTGGAAGAGCATTTCAGAAAAAGAGGGAAGAAAAACAAAACCCCCAAACTCCACATTCAAAGAGCATACAGGTGTAGCTACTAAAAATAGCCCATGGGAGATATGGAAAGGCTTCCCAACAAACTTGTCAGGCCACTCTGAATTGTTGCCCCCTTTGTTTTCTGTTCACTGTACTTCTTTTTTTTTAAAGACTTTATTTATTTGACACACAGAGAGAGAGATCACAAGTAGGCAGAGCAGCAGGCAGAATGAGAGGGGGGAAGCAGGCTCCCTGCTGAGCAGAGAGCCTGATGTGGGGCTCAATCCCAGGACCGTGAGATCATGACCTGAGCCGAAGGCAGAGGCTTAACTCACTGAGCCACCCAGGTGCCCTCACTGTACTTCTGATGATCTGTTTCTGGTGTGTCAACTGTATCTCTCATGAAGACTGGGATTCTGTCCCTTCCCCACCTCAGTTGTAAGTTTGTGCTGAGTTCATGAAAGGGAGGGACAGAGAAAATATAAAGAGAAGGCGGCACTCCTGGACCCATCCCACCACTCACCACCCACTACCCACTACCCACTACCACCACCACCAAAAAAGAATTCCAAGCAAAGCAATTGCCAAGATAAATCACTTTTATCTCTATAGGAAAGGGAGGATCTAAAAAAAATATAAATTACATTAGTAACACAACATAAGAAAAAAACAGGGGGAAAAAAACAACAGCGAAGTCTGTATGATGCTATTCTAACCTGTTTATAAAAAGGCCCTGCATCAGAAATTCACAATCCTACCCACTTCTAAAAATATATTTAGACATGTACAGAAGCGGTGGGCTTGTTTTTAAATTGTTTGCTTTTTTTGTAAAAATATATTAAAGGTGAATAGAAATCCTCTCTCCCTGCCCCCTATCCAATCCCCAGCTCTGTGCTGGGGATTGGAGACCAGAGGTAACTCTCACCATGTTCTACACCTTAGTTACTACCACTCCCAACCCCTCCCCAACTTACTTCATCACTTAGAACCTGATAACATTAAAAAAAAAAAAAGCACACTAGCCTCTTTGGAAAAGCATAACTCTGAGGGTAAACTTGCTTTTCATTTAAAACACAAAACAACAAACAGGAGGCTCTGAGAGCCCAACTAAACTAAATGGAAACCCAGTCAAATGGAGGTTGGGTTTCAGCTCCACAGAAACTTCTAACAAAGAAACAGAGGGGAAAGAGGCCCGGAACCAGGGGGATTTGCTAGCAATTAGCTGCCTTTGAAAGATCAAGGGGGTGGGTGTTAATGGGCAGAAGGGCTGGGGTCCTGGTCTTGGTTACAGCAGTCAGGGCCTAGTCAGGCAGTTGCCTACACAGGGACACAGGCTGCCCCCCTTCCCTCCCCTCACTACCCTCTGCTGCCTTGAAATCCCCAAGAAAGCAAAGCTGGGTGGAAACAGAGGAGAGGGGAGTGGGGACCTCACATGCTAGGGGGGAGGTAGCCAGGCTTTTTGCCTTTGGTGTGACTAGATGGAGGACTGCATGGCCCCTGGAGTTCCCAAAATTAAAAAAAAAAAGCAGATGGTTTTAAGGGACCCCTGATTCCAAATAAGGAGAGTAGATGTGGGCTGTAGAGAAAAGAGAGACAAATTGGAGACACAAAGACGATATGGGAAGCCTCACATACTCCTGTGGCCTGCATGGTAGCTGTTAAGCTCCCCAGAAGCACTAGGCAAACTGGGGTGAGGTCGAAGTGGGAAGTAGAGGGCAAGGATGCTCTCTACTTGCGCAGTACCAAAATGGAGGGAGTGGGACATTCTCCATCCAGTCCAGGGTGCCAGGGAGGCAAGACAGGCAGAGGTGGAGGGAGTTAGGGGGAGGAGAAGGAACAGGGAGAGGGGTTGGGCATTGTCTGAACAACAGAGACAGCCACAAGGGGAAGACAGGGAGTGGAGGATCAGAAGATCTGCTCCTTTACAGATGGGCATCTCCTCTCCCAGGCTCAGGCTCCCGAGTAGTGCATCTGCACTCTGCTTGGGCGTTGACCTGATGTCTGGGAGCACAAAGGCCAAGAAGTGAAGATGTGAGTTCTGAGGTCTTCTTCAGACCAAGACCTCAGGTGGGGAAAGAAGCAGGGAGGCTCCTGATGGAGAACCCAGGGGTGAGCTCTCCTGTCACATCCTCTCCAGAAGGTCCAGACTGTGCTCTGTGGTACAGGTGAAGAGAGCAGGCTGTACATAGGGCCAGGGTTATCTGCTTCAGTGGTAGGAACTCTCAGACTTTTGGAAGATGGTTTTTCACCTGTTGGGGCCCAGCTACAGCCATGTGGATAATGTTCTGTGGGACCTCAAAATCCAGGCAAATCCCTGAAGCTCACCCTGGGACAGGGGACCTCATCTATAGCCACCTGAAAGTAGCTTCCTCCAGTGGGCTCCAAAGTCATGGTCAAAGGCTTGGGTGTCAGTCCTCTCCCCACCTTGAGAAGTGATAGAAATCTCTCTTCTTCCCAAAGGTGAGTCAAGTCAGCCCATAACCTTTCAAGTCCACCTCTGAAAATGGCCCATGGTGGGGCAGGAAGGAGACTCTGGAATCTCCTCTTTATTTTCATGAAGCATTTGGCAAGAGGGGGCGGAGGCTAGACCCTTCTCCCAAGAACAAGTCTGGAATGGGACATGTCCACTAGGCTAGGGGGAAAAAGGGGAAGGAAACATGGACAGGCTTCTGGAGACAGGGTGGGAGCTACAGCAAGTGTTGAGCACTGGGCGTCCCACTTCATGACTAGGGAAAGAACAAGGGACCCAGGCTCACTTTATGCCTCTCCTGAACCTGTCTTCCAGCTTTAAGTGGGAATAAGAATAAAGGGCAGACAAGGCTGGTAAAAAGGAAATGGGCTGGAGCAGCAGAAAAGAGGGCTCTAGTCAGCCAGAAACCTCTCCCATTCACTGCTACTCAGAGGTATGGAGAAGGCAGGATGCTTTAGTGGAAGTAGGGAAGGGAGTTAGGGGAGTTGGTGCAGGAGCCCGTTGGGGAGTCCGTGCCTTTGGTCAGTTCCAAGAAAGCAGGACAATGCGCCTCAGCACCTTGTCCGGGGCAGAAAGGATCCAGGAGTGCCCCGAGAGTTGACAATGGAGAAGGCAATGGGGGTGAAGGGGTGAGGGGCAGGACATGAGGGGGCTCACAGAAGTAGTTTGCCATTTCTGTGGATTTTCAGGATACGGCCAAGTCTCTGCTTTGCTGTGGCCAGACCCTTTTTAGGACGCTTTCCTGTGAGGAAAAGAGAGGTAAATAAAAGGCTGTGGCACTGGCTTTAGTAGCAATTCCAGCATCAACTATCTTCAGTCTGCCCCCCTCCTCTGTTCCTCTGCCCACAGAGTCTCCCCATCCTTATGCTGGCTCCAGCACATATTGGGCAAGAAGGCTTCCTTAACCACTTCCATCCAATACCACATGCCTTGGTTCTTCCTATGACCTCCCGCAGCAGCTATTAACCCCCTGGTTAGTCTATCTGGTTCCTTTTCCTCAGATTTCTTTGGTCCCAATCATTTTTCTTCCTAAATTCTGTGGGGCTGTGGTTATGCCTCCCTGTCCTCTTATCCTGAGCACTGTTATTAGCTAAGAGCCTGGTTAGTGATTATATTTGGTGTCCCAGAAGGTGCTATCCCCAAGGCCTTTTTTCATTAGAAACCCCCATCTTCAAAAAAAAGAAAGAAAACCCCATCCTCATTACCCAAGGCCACACTGACCTCACTACCCTTGAGCTGCATGCTCTAGGGACTGGGCTTTGAGGGCCAAAGTAAGGAAAAGGGGGGATTAAGCCCTCGTCCCATCACCTCTTCCTCTCTCTCCACACATCAAATCATCTCTCAGGTCCCATGTGACCTCCTCCGTATTTGATCAATTTATCCCCTCCCTCTCTGTTCCCTCTGCTATAGCCTCAGCCTCTCTTCACTGCAGCCTGAACCTATGTATATGCCTCCTCCCTAGACTTCCCACCTGCAGCCCACCCTCTGGTTACCAGAAGGCTCCTTCTAAACCCACACCTGAAATTCCTCTGTTTAGCACCAGTTAATGTCTCTTCATGGCCTAAGAGATCAAATCCAAGCATATGAGGTTGGCCATCAGTATCCCTCCCAGGTATTCCCATCTATCAGAGTGCTTAGGGTTTGGAGCTGGTGACCCTAAGATCCTTCTCAGTTTTGCAACCATATGGCCATCATACCTTGTCCTGCTTGATTGCTCTGGGAGCCAACTGAAGGGCGCCGCTGGGTCAAGAAGACACCAGGGGCCATGGGTGTGGTGCTGCGGTTCGCCTGGGCCATACCAAAGGCATTGGGACGAGCAGTATATTCGTGGTCAGCAAGACTCCCTGAGAGGGCCTCTTGTTTAGGCTCAGGAGGAGGCGGGGGCGAGGAGGAGGTGAGAAGCTGGGGTGTAGTGGCCAGAGCTGGAGCTGGTGCTGCCACATTGAGAATGGACTCCTGAGGGCGAGGCTGTTCTACCTCCTTCGGTAAAGGCTTCTTCTTGATATATTTCTTCTTTTGGGCTTTCTGCAGCTCCTGAAATACAAGCCAGGTGGAAGGAGAAAATTCAGAAGTGGAGAAAAGAAAAGAATTGCCCAGAAAGGAAACTAGACACTGGTCAATGTGGTCCTGCAGCCCACCCCCACCCCAAGTCTAGCCTGGATGTATGTATACACAAGGCACAGGGCTTCTAACACCTAAGATCATCTCTTTGGTACCATCCATCCTTAAGTTACCACTGCCATGAATCAGTACAGGGGTAACAAAAGGGTAAATGAATTCAGAGACGGGTTTTGGTCCTAGCACTGCCATTTATGAAGTGGACAATGGACACTTCTAATAAGAATAGCTGAATTTATGACAGCAGCTAAGGCCCTTTGTACAGTTAACACTTGAAAAACATAAGGGTTAGGGATACTGCCCCCCCATGTGGGCGAAAAATCCACATTTTAACTTTTGACATCCCTAAAACTTAACTACTAATAGCCTACTGTTGATTGGAAGCCTTACTAATAACATAAATGGTTGATTAACATATATTTTGTTATGTTAAATGTAATATTATAATAAGGTAAGGCAGAGAAAAGAAAATATTAAGAAAATCATAAGGGAGAGAAAATACATTCATAGTACTACTATAATTTAAAAAATCTACTATAATTAAAAAAAAATCTATGTTTGAACCTACATAGTTCAAACCCATGTTGTAAAAGGGCTAACTGTATACTTCATTTATTCCTCATAGTAGCCATGAGAAGGAAAATGCCTCAGGTTATAGAGGAGAAAACTGAGGTACAGGGATATTAAGTTGAGCCCAAAGCCTCACAGGTGAAAAGTTGTTGGGTCTAGGATTCAGCCAGGTCTAACTGAATACCCACTGTGCACACTTCTCAAAAACGGACCTCTGGGTGTGAGAGAGTAGTAGCTTTGGAATGAAAGAAACTTGGGTTCAAATCTAGGTTTGTGTTCCCTAAATGGGATGACCCTTGTCAAGTTACTTACTAACCTTTGTGAATCTCAATCGCCTTATCTGTAAAATGGGCAAAATAAATCTGTTTTTTTAGGGTTGCCAGAAAGATTAAATAATGGTGTAAAAACTCATAGCACATAATAAGTACTCAACAAATGGAAAACTGTTATTCTATGTTCATCTCTTACAATGGTTTCTCTTCCTCTTGCTGGTCTTTTCTTTTAATAGAGGACTTGGCAATCCTCCAGGTCGCTGGGTCTTAAAAACCTCAATTCTGGATGGGAGGGATGAATAAGGAGTTGTGTCAATTCTCCCAATATCTTGGATTTCATCCATCCATTGCTTTATGGATCTACTATCCACTGTGTAGTGGGTACCTGTATAGTGGGCATCTGGAGCCCTGAGAACCTGGAAAGGTGGTGCTGAGAGCATGTGAACGACTTCACCTTCTGAAATGCTACACAGCCACACAGACCAACTCAGTGATTACATTTCTTTGCCTTGGCAACACGGGCCTACTCCTGCCTTCGGAAGATCTGACAGGCTGTGGCTATCATAGGAATTTCTGGGGGATAAGAATAATAATATTAGTAATACATGCCAGGTACTGTTCTATAATTTAACTCATTTAATACTCAGAAGAAGTATGAGAAGAAAGAATGAAAATCCCATTTTTAGGAGAAGAAACTGTGGCACAGGGAGATTAAGTCATTTTTCCAAGGTTATAGGACCAATATGTGACCAAGCTTGGATTCAGACCTAAGCCATCCGGCTTCAGAATCTCTTTTCTCAACCACACTGCTATTCCACCCATACCAGAAAGTACATTTCTGCCCCCATTTCTCTCACCTGAATCCAGAAATTATCTATTCACACCTCAATCACATAGCCTAAATTTTTCTATTGTCATTGCCAATCTCCTTGTATAATTCATCCAGATTCCCTCACTAAAGACTAGACCATCTTAGGACAGGACCACTTACACCTTGCCAATCCTTGCTCAAAAACCTGTTAGCATATCTGACATTCATGTTTGGTCATTCATACTTACCCAATCCATAATGATAACACTGAAAAACTAACACATCTATAGTACTTTGCTCTGTGGCAAGTGCCATGCTCACAGCTTTCCCACACATTACCTCATCTAATCCTCAAAGTTTATGAGGAAACTGAGGCACAGAGAAATCAAGTAATGTGCTAAAGTGGTAGAGTGAGGATTCGAACTCAGGCAGGCTGGCTCTACAATCCCTTTTTAAATCTGAATCTATCTTATTCCAGTTCCCAACATGCAGCTTCCAATGCAGAAAGATCTGCTCATTCATTCATGCATCCATTCACTCACTCGCCCAACATGGATTAAACACATGTTTAGTATAGTGGGGATATCAAGTTAAATTAGATATACCCCCACCCTTGAGGCACTCACAGTTTAATAGGGGACACAGGAAAGCATACTTACAAGTACCATGAGAGAATACTACAAAAGCACAGAAAGCCACTGAAATAAACTGGTGGTAGGTGGTATGAAAGAGTGTTAGGTAAGGCATCTGAAAGGGATGATCCCCAATGGGCAGAGGGAACAAACTGTGCAAAGGCACAGAGGCATGAGACAGTGTGATGTACACTAAGTGAACTACAAGCACCACAGTGCAATAGTATGGCTGGTGCAAAGCACGTGTATGAGGGGCTGGTAGGAGGTTAGGGAGGAGAGGTGAATACAGACCAAATTAACAGGACCTTGGGTGCTTTGCCAAGGATTTCCCTTCTCCTGGGATGCCTCCTGTTCCTTCTAAAAGTTGAGCCTGCCAAACCACTTCCAAATTTCAAATTCTCTTCTTTGAGGTCATCCCTGACCAAACCGAACAGAAGTGAACTCCTTAGGAGGCACTAGTAGTTTTCACACCTTTAATTAATTTATCTGTTTATTTAAAAGAGTAAAACCCCCCTCCCTCCCTTTTTTACCAAATTACATCTTAGATGGCACCAGGATATACATAACAGAAGTTCTGGTCAAAGAAGGCCTGCTTGGTCTGCTTGGTCTCTGCTGGCTCCCAACAACAGCCACTGAGACATTTCTAAGCAACTCTAGAGCTCCATATAACAGCATATTAAAAACATCATTCTATTAAATTTTATTTAAATAGGATATAATTATTAAATTATATAAACATTTAACTATTTTATTGAAGTAGCAAGTAACAGGAAATTTGAAGTTAGAGGATATGAGTTTGAATCTTGTCTCCTCCATTTACTGGCTGTATTATCCTGGACTAGTCACTTAAAGAGAGTCTCATTTTCTTCACCTGCAAAATGATGAAAATATCACCTATTGAACAGGGCCACTGGCAGATTATACAAAACATTGTACATGAAAGTACCTAGCGGAAAACAGATGCTCAGTAAATGCTCTAAGCAATAGGATGTTGCCTAAGGAGCCAAGGGGATGTTAATAAGGAGAGAATCAAAAAATTCAACTCTAACTGTTCCCAGGGTTGCTGAGTACAGTATACACATTAAAGAACTTTGCAAACTGTAACCTGCTAGGAGGTCAAGTTGGTTCTAGTGAAGTGACCCTTTAGGACAAGAACCAGTGGATAAAGTTTTCTTAGAAAGTAGGGGGTAAATATTAAGGCAATAATATTTGGTATACTTCTAGTTCTTTCTTTTGTTGTGAATTCCTCCTTCTAGTCATTTTGCCCAGAGAAAAATGGATGAACAAGAGAACAAAATAAAAAATGTCAACCATGACCCAAGCAAAATACTCATACATGGATTATAAGAACTAGCATAGAGGATCATAGAGGAAGGGAGGAAAAACTGAATGGGAAGCCATCAGAAAGGGAGAAAAACTATTAGAGACTCTTACCTATAGGAAATAAACTGAGGGCTACTAGAGAGGAGTTGGATGGGGGAGTGGGGTTTTAGGTAATGGGCATTAAGGAGGGTACATGATATGATAAACACTGGGTGTTAAACGCAGCTGATAAATTACTGAACACTACATCTGAAACTAATGATGTACTATATGTTGGCTAATTGAATTTAAACTAAAAAAATAATATTTGGTATAGAGGAAAAGGAAAGCCTCTCCCCAAAAAACAAATTCTGATACTGATTGGGAGGCTGAGAACTCAAATATACTCAGCTGGTAACCTCCTCAGGGCTTCATCTGAAGGCAAATGTTCTCATTCAAGGACAGAGAGAAGTTGGCCTGCCTGGTCTCCGCTGGCTCCCAACAACAGCCTCTGAGACATTTCTAGTTTTTGTCCTAAAGGCAAACTGGGATCAGTAGCAGGGTCACTGCCTGGGTGTCAGCACCTACCTGCTGGGCTAGCTTCGCAGCTGCTGCAGCCAAGCCTGTCTCAATGGAAGCTACCCGGGTCCCCTCACGCACAGGACGGTCCTGCTTTGGTAGAGTTGGGGTCACACGGGCTGCAGAGGAAACAGGATGAAAACAATTATCTGAATGTCAAGCATATTCCCTACCTCTGAGCCTCCCCCAAAGGTGGTCTCATCAGTCTCCCAGCTTCTAGCTTTTTATAAAGTCTGATTTTGTTTCCCATCAGGTAAGAAGCTAATTTACAAATGCTCAAAGTACACAAAGCATACAATGATTATAGGATAAAAGTTAAGTTTCCTAAACTGGCATTTAACGTTGTCCATGTCCTGCTCCTGGCTTACCCACCTCCTCAGCCTTATTTCCACATCCATATTCTCAGCTTTTCTAGACAGAATGGATTCCTTATTCTATCTCCAGAATATGTACAGCTCATCCTCTTTCTACTTTCATTCTCACCATCCACATTACCTACAGTACCCTCTTTCCTTTGGCCACATCTTCAAAACCTGACTGTCCTTCAAAGGTAAGCTGAAATCAAACTTCTGTACACAAACCTCTAGGACCTGTCTTGCTCACATTGGTCTCTCCCTCTCTGAACTTAAGATGTATACCAGTCACTTCATATATAGCACCACACCATCCTGTCTCATTCCCTAACTTTGACGTGCTGTTAAGCACATGTTATTTTGCCAGCCCAACAGGCTATGAGGTCCTAAAGAAGACTGTCTTCTTGTATAACCCTTTTATAGTGCCTTAACAACCTTGAATCAAAAAGGAGTTATTTTTTAAAAAACAGTTATTTATCCCACATTTTACACAGTAAGTATATTTTACCAAAGAGCCCCAGATGATGAAGGAAAGCTCCTATTTACAGAAGAATGCCAGCTAATAAATGTAGAAAGAATGACAAAATTGGAAAATCACAGGTTTGTAAGCCCTAATAAAACAACTGATTCTAGGGACCTGGATAGTGACACAGTACCAAACTATTACATACATACTACTTGCTAGTCTCAACAAGGAAAAAACTAACTTTACAATGGTGAGATCATATCACCTCCTTAACTAAGTATTAACTTCATTATTACTAATAGCGAGACAGCTGACTTCATGTACCTCCTGATGCAATGCAATATGAAATTCACAGCATCACCTTGGAAGTAGTTTTGCCAAAGATCTAAAATCAAGTAAGTGGTTCATATTACTTCCAGTTTTTAGGAAACGGAGATAAGAGAACGAGTTAAATGATACCATGAGAAAACAGTCAGACATTCTACAAGATAACTGCCCTAATGTTATTAAAAAGACAATGTCACAAGGAAGTAAACAAATCTAGAAGGTGGGATGGGTCATAGGACAATTATATTACTTTTTATAAGAAATAAATAGCACAAAACAAAAAAGGGGGTATGCTCTAGATTAAGAGAGACTCAAAAGGCATGACAGCCAAATGCTATGCGAACTCTGCTAGATCCTTATGTAAACAAACCCACTGTAAAAATACCTTTTTATGGTTAGACAATTAAAATTTTATTATGGATTTAGGATTAGATAATGTGCAGGAATTATCAAATTATTGCTAATTTTTTTATGTGTGATAACAGGATTGTGGTTATATGAGAAAATGTATTTTTTAGAGATGTACAGTAAAGTACATTGAGAGCAGGGAATGACAAAATATGTAGGATGTGCTTTAAAGAACAATTTTGAAAAAAGGGAACTAATAGATGAATCAAACGTGGCAAAATCTTGATAACTATTAATTGTTAGTGGTGGTTGTATGGGAATTTATTGTACTATTCTATTTTTAATTAATGAAAAAAGTCAATGTCACAGAAAAAAAGAGGTGGTAGTGGTACCAACCTAGATTTGAAGATTCCTTGGTTGGTTAGCTGCTGCTGCTGCTGCTGCTGTTGTTGTTATTGTTATTATTAAAACATTATTATTATTATTATTATTATTATTAAAACCTTTCTGTATACGTAGCATGCAGATTCTAGAATAAGCAATTCAGGGGGCTCAAGTCCCTTCTTTAAAGGCAGTATTTGTTCAAAAATGATCTGAAGCAAAAAGAACAAAGGAAAAAAGGGGTAGTAGGTTTGTTTATTTGAACAAATTATAGCTGAGAACTTCCCTAATCTTGGGAAGGAAACAGGCATTCAAGTCCAAGAGGCACAGAGAACTCCCCTCAAAATTAACAAAAACAGGCCATCACCAAGACATGACAGTGAAACCTGAAAAATACAAAGATAAAGAGAGAATTCTGAAAGAAGGTAGGGATAAAAGCTATTTAACCTACAAGGGTAGACACATAAGGTTATCAGCTGACATGTCCACAGAAACACAGAAGGCCAGAAATAAGTGGCATGATACATTCAAACTGCTAAGTGGGAAAAATATGCCAAGACTACTTTATCCAGCAAGGCTGTCATTCAGAATAGAAGGAGATATAGAGAGTTTCTAGGACAAGCAAAAACTAAGGGAGTTCATGAACACTAAACCAGTTCTGCAAGAAATATTAAATGGGACACTTTGAGCAGGAAAGAGAGACTGAAGGCAACAAAGACTAAAATGGAACAAGAACTTTACAGGTAATGCAATGGCAACCAAATTCATATCTATCAATAATTACTCTGAATGTAAATAGACTAAATGTTCCAATTAAAAGACACAGGGTATCAGAATGGATAAAAAAAAATAAGAGCCATCAATATGCTACTTACAAGAGACTCATTTTAGAACTAAAGATACCTCCAGACTGAATGTGAGGAGGTGGAGAACCATCCACCATGCTAATGGAAAGCTGGAGTAGCCATATCTACATCAGACAAACTAGATTTTTTTGGAGGAGGGGGAGGGACAGAGAGAGAGAAAGAATCCCAAGCAGGCTCCATGCCCAGCACAGAGCCCAATGTGGGGCTTGATCTCACAACCCTGAGATCATGACTCAAGCCAAAAATCAAGAGTCAGATGCCTAACTGACTAAGTCACCAGCTCAACCAGCCAGGCACTCCCAGACAACCTAGATTTTAGACCAAAGACGGTAATAAGAGATGAAGAAGGGCACTATATTACAATAAAGGTATCTATCCAACAAGATCTAACAAACGTAACTATTTATGCCCCTAAATCGGGAGTAGCCAAATATGTAAGTGAATTAACAACAAAATCAAAGAAACTCACTGACAATAATGTAATAATATTAGGAGACTATAAACCACCCCACTCACAGCAATGGACAGATCATCTAAGCAGAAGTTCAACAAGAAAACGATGGCTTTGAGAGGCAGGCTGGACCAGGTGGCCTTAACCGATATATTCAGAGAATTCCATCATAAAGCAGCAGAATACACATTCTTCTTGGGTGCACATGGAACATTCTACAGAACAGATCACACACTGTGTCACAAATCAACCCTCTAACAGTACAAAAAGACTGAGATCATACCATGCATATTTCAGACCACAACACTATGAAACCTGAAGACAAGCACAAGAAAAAATTTGGAAAGACCACAAACACGTGGAAGTTAAAGAGCATCATACTGAAGTATGACTGGGTTAACCAGGAATTAAAGAAAAAATTAAAAAATACATGGGAGCAAAGGGAAATGAAATCATGACAGTCCCAAACCTTTGGGACATAGCAAAGGCAGTCATAAGAGGGAAGTATATAGCAATACGGGCCATCCTCAGGAATTGAGAAAATCTAAAGGAACTGCAAAAAGAACAGCAAATAAAACCTAAGGCCAGCAGAAGGAAATCATTAAGATCAGAGCAGAAATAAGTGATATAGAAATTTTAAAAAACAGTAGAACAGATAAACGAAATGAGGATCTGGTTCTTTGAAAGAATTAACAAAACTCATAAACCCTTAACCAGACTTATCAAAAAGAGGAAGGACCCAAATACATAAAATCACGAATGAAAGAGGAGAGGTCACAACTAACACTAAAGAAATATAAACAATTATAAGAGAATATTATGAGGAATTATATGCCAACAAATAGGGTAATCTGGAAGAAATGGATACATTGCTAGAAACATATAAACTACCAAATGAGAAACAGGAAGAAAAAGGGAAGCTGAACAGACCCATAATCAGCAAAGAAATTCAATCAGTGATCAAAAATCTCAAAAAAAAACAAACAAACAAACAAAAAAAAACCCCAAGAGTCCAGGGCTAGATGGCTTCCCAGGGGAACTGAACCAAACACTTAAAGAATTAATACCTATCCTTCTGAAACTGTTCCAAAAAACAGAGATCAAGGGAAAACTTCCAAACTCATTCTACAAGGCCAGCATTACCTTGATTCCAAGACCAAAAACCCCACTAAAGAAGAGAATTACAGACCAATATCTCTGATGAACATGGATGCAAAAATTCTCAACAAAACACTAGCTAATGGAATCCAGTAGTCCATTAAAAGGATTACTCACCATGATCAAGTCAGACTTATTCCTGGGCTGCACAGGGGTGGCTCAATATTCACAAATCAAGGTGATATACTGCATTAATAAAATAAAGCATAAAAAAACATACAATCCTCTCCATAGGTACAGAAAAGGCACTTGACAAAACACAGCATCCTTTCTTGATAAAAAACCCTCAACAAAGTAGGGATAGAAGGAACACACCTCAACATTGTAAAGTCCACATACAAAAGACCCACAAGCTAATATTATCCTCAATGGGGAAAAACTGAGAGCTTTTCCCCTAAGGTCAGGAACATGACAGGGATGTCCACCCTTACACTGTTGTTCAACATAGTACTAGAAGTCCTAGCCTCTGTAATCAGACAACAAAAAGAAATAGAACACATCCAAACTGGCAAGGAAGAAGTCAAACTTTCACTCTTCACAGACAACATGATACTCTGTAGAAAACCTGAAAGACTCCATCAAAAAATTGTGAACTGATACAAGAATTCAGCAAAGTCACAGGATATAAAAACAACATACAGAAATCTGTTGCATTTCTACACACCAATAATGAAGCAGGAGAAAGAGAAATCAAGAAATAATCCCATTTATAACTGCACCAAAAATTATAATGTACCTAGTACTAAACCTAACCAAAGAGGCAAAGATCTGTATGCTGAAAACTACAGAACACTTATGAGAGAAATTGAAGAAGATAAAAAGAAATGGAAAAACATTCCATATTCTTGGATTGGAAGAGCAAATATTGTTAAAATGTCTATACTACCCAAAGCAACCTACACATTTAATGCAATCCCTATCAAAATAACACCAGCATTTTTCACAGAGGTGGAACAAACAATTCTAAAATCTGTATGGAACCAGAAAAGACCCCAAATAGCCAAAGGCATGTTGAAAAGCAAAGCAAGAAGTATCACTATTCCAGACTTCAAGATGTATTACAAAGCTGTAATCATCAAGACAGCAGGGTAATGGCACAGAAACAGACACACAGATCAACGGAACAGAATAGAGAACCAAGAAATGGACCCACAACTGTATGGCCAAATAATTTTCAACAAAGTAGGAAAGAATATACAATGGAAAAAAGAATGTAAAGAATGAAACTGGACCCCCTTCTTACACCATACACAAAAATAAATTCAAAATGGATGAAAGACCTAAATGTGAGACAGGAAACCATCAAAATCCTAGAGGAGAATGCAGGCAACAACCTCTTTGACCTCAGCTGCAATAACTTCTTAGTAGACACGTCTCCAGAGGCAAGGGAAACAAAATCAAAAACTAAGTATTGGGACTTCATCAAGATAAAAAGCTTCTGGACAGTGAAGGAAACAACTGACAAAACTAAAAGGCAACTGACGAAATGTGGGAAGATCTTTGCAAATGACATGTTGTATAAAAGGTTAGTATCTTAAAATCTACAAAGACCTACTCAAACTCAACACCCAAAAAACAAATAATCCAGTTAAGAAGTGGTCAGAAGAATACACACTTTTCCAAAGAAGACGTCCAGATGGCTAACAAACACATGAAAAGATGCTCAACATCACCCATCATCAGGGAAATACAAATCAAAACCAACTGTGCCCCACAAAATGCCTTTTTAATTTTTTTAAAATTCAATTTAGTCCTTGAATAGAATCTGGTTTGAATAAGCAAATAAGATATTTTTGGTACAATTTGGGGGGGGGATTTGAATAAGGATTTGGTACCAAATGATATGAGAAAATAAATGCTACTCTACTCAGATGTCATAAAATGGTACTATGGTTATAGAAGAAAATGTCATTTTCATATTTATCATATGATCTCTCTGATAGGAGGAATTTGAGAGGCAGGGTGGGGGGATCGTGGGGGATAGGGAGGGAAAAAATGAAAAAAGATGGGATCAGGAGGGAGACAAACCATAAGAGACTCTTTTTAAAAAAAGATTTTATTTATTTATTTGACAGAGAGAAACAACCAGAGAGGGAACACAAGCAAGGGGAGTGGGACGGAGAAGCAGGCCTCCCACCGAGCAGGGAGCCCAATGTGGGGCTTGATCCCAGGACACTGGGATCATGGCCTAAGCTGAAGGCAGATGCTTAATGACTGAGCTACCTAGGTGCCCCCATAAGAGACTCTTAATCTCATGAAACAAACTGAGGATTGCTGGGGGGTTGGGGGGGGAGGGATAGGGTGGCTGGGTTATGGACTTTGTGGAGGGTATGTGCCATGGTGAGTGCGGTGAAATGTGTAAGCCTGATGATTCATAGAACTCTACCCCTGGGGCAAATAAGACATTATATATTAATTAAAAAAATAGGATGGGTGGAATCAGCAGGGGATATCCTGGGGACCCATGGGTATGGAGGTACCAGCACCCTCTGCAGCAGACTGTTGCAGTAATAGCTTTCAATTTGCTCACATCTCCCTGCATGCAGAGGAGGATTCTGCAGTTCGCTTTCTCGAGAGGTGTAATCCATACCTCCACCTCTGGAATTGAGGCTTGACCATGTAACTTGCTTTGGCTAGTGGGACAATGGAAAACATGACACCAGCAAGGGGCTTGAAAAGTGCTTGCAAACGGGGGCTTTCCCTCTCTTGCTAATGGACATGTTTCTGCTTTCCTGTGAAAAAGTTTATGCTGGCTTCCTGGTGGACTAGGAAAAACCACATGGAGAAAGGCACTAGCCACCCCAAATTTGGTCTAGACTCCTGAAGATCTGTTTAGACCATCCAGCCCAGGCCAAGCCAGTCCAGACTAGAACAAGAGCTTAGCCAACCTACAGAATAATGAGAAATGATCAGCTGTCATTGTTCTAAGCCACAAAGTTTGGGGTAGTTTGATAAGCAGCAAAGGCTAACTGACACGCCCTCCAATGTGAAAACCACCCAACCAGTGAGATGAATAAAATTCTTGTATTACACTCTAAATACCACATTCAACTCAATGATCATTCTTTCTTCCCTCCTCAGAGCTGGCCTCTCAGGCAGTACAGGTGACAGTCTAAGGAGCCTTGGGCCTTGTGAAGTTCAACAGTCAGCAGAATTTCCCTCATCTGGCAAAGTATTACCAAAGGTCTGGGATGATGGTAGCTTCTCAGAAGCCTCAGAGTGCTAGGTGGAATCTGCTCAAGGTCTTCTTTTCACCTCAAGCCATATAACATCAGAAGAAACATGCTCCATCACCTCTGACTTTGCTGAGCTGAGTGCATGAAATGTGTCTTATCCACTATTTTTGCTCCAGCACCTAACACAGTATCCTGGCACACAGGTGGTACTCAACAAATGTTTGCTGAATAAACAAATGAGTGACTGAATCATATCTTCTTATGTTATGTATCCCAACTACCCCCAGCCTATTTTCCCCAAACCATACCTACAGAGTTTAAGGACAGAATACTGGATCACCTTTAGGACTCCATGGAGCATCATCTGAGTTCTTCTTTTTCTTGGGTCGAGATTTCAAAGCAGGGTCATCATCATCAGACTCCAGGGAAGGGTAAACTGCAACGAGAGGGGAAAGCAGGGTAAACGGATATTTCATCTAGAAAGGTGAAGACGGAATGATGCCTACACCTCAGCTCTGGCCACTCCCCTACCAGTAGACCCTTTACTTAATCCACACTCAAATGCAGGAATCTCTGAATATACTACATACTTTTCATGTCTTTCTACTTTTGTACCTTTGCTGCAAATGTCCTTCTCCAAGCATCACCTAATTCTGATTCACTCATTCAACATCCATTTAGTGAGTCACTTCATGAATTACTTTACTGACCTTGCAAAACTCAGCTCTAGATTCACTTCCTAAGAAGCCTTCTTGTTCTTCTAACCTGATTCAGATGGCTTCTCAACTCTCCAGAGTATCCTGGGTATACCTCTACTGGAGTTATTTATTATATAGTATTTGAGAGTTGAAAAGTAAATAAGTCACCCCTAACTTACTGTAAGGGCAGGAATAAGTATTATTTGATTTCAAACTAAGGGAGCCTAACACAATGCAGAGTACGTACACAATAAATGTTGGCTGAAATGGAAAAAGAAATGCTATACACGTTATCACACAAAGGGAACAAAAAGACCACTTGGGCTGAACTGACAACAAGATTACTGCAACTGAATGATCTGAAAGGCAAAACACACATATACAAGTATCTCAAGCTATACACGTACACACAAACATCCAGTTTTATCACATTCTGCTCACAATCCACATGCAACACCTATAGGATTTAATGGGACAATGATGTAGATAGATCCTACTGATGAAGTCAAATTCTGTGTCTACTGCTTCTAAACCTGAAAGAGAAGCAAAGTGAGAGTGAAACTTCTTCCTAGTGATCCTACTCATCCAAATGACCAGACTCAAATTTCTCTAGAATTATCCTTCATCAGAGGAATTCTAGTCACATACTTCCTTCTAGTAGGACCTCTTTATAGGAAAATGAGTTCATTTCTCAGGCCTTCCTTTCTTGAGCAAAGAGGTAAAACTCCTGCCTTCTGACTTTGAAAGAACCAAAAAGAGGGGTCACTGATTGTCCCTCAAAAGAAATAGCTTCTGGTAACAACTGTTTGAGAAAGATCCCATCCTTAATAGTCCCAGTGGCTGTCAATATTATTTTGTTGGGTCTGAAAGGGTTTGCCATCTCAAGGAAAGTAGTATGGTATGGTAGAAAAACCGTGAGTCTAGGGATCAGATGTTACTTTGAAATCCTGGACTGATCCACTAGCTTTGTGACTTAAGAAAACTTCTCTAGGTTTCACTATCTTCACCCATAAAATTGAAATAATACTACCTGCCTTGAGAAGTTGTAAGGATTGAGAGATAATAAGTATAAAGTAGCATGCAAAAAGAAATTCCATTCTAAGGTTCATGTCTTATTCAAGAGAGGTTATGATGTAGATAGTAAGTAAGTGTAGACCTTTAAAGAAAATAGAAGTTAAGATACACATATTAAAAATGTAAAGGTAGAAAGGAGTGATGTCCCCCAAATGGAGTTAGGAGCTCCAAGTATTTGTCCCTCCACTGCAGCAACTGTTGAGTAGCAAAAACTGTAAGAATAAACATTTTGGGGACTCTGGAATACATTCAAAAACTTAGAAGGGGAATGCTTAACAACAAAAAAGTCTGCTTAGTTTGGCATTTAAGTAAATTTCTATCAATAAATCTCAGTTGACCACTAAGGCTACAGAACGGATACTTCAGTGACCACATACTAAAGGACACTGTCTATAAAAAGCCTTTGGAAAGTCACTAAATAAACAGATAACTGTAGCTCACAGTAAGCAACAACAGAAACTCTGGGGAGGGAGGAAAATATGACTTCCAGAGTTACCACATTATATAATATTCAAAATGTCTCAGCTTCAGAAAAACTTACGAGGCATGCAAAGAAACAAGTATGTTTTACTCACAGAAAAAAAAATTAATAAAAAAAACTCTCCATGAGGAAGCTGATATTGGAATTACTATACAAAGGACTTTGAATCAATGGTCCTATGTGATCAAAGAGAAGCATGTTTCAACAAAAAACAGAATATCAATACAGAGATAGAAAATATAAAAAGGAACCAAATAGAAATTCTGGAGCTGAAAAGTACAATGTGGTTGTGAAAAATTCACTACAGGGATTCAATAGTAGATTTTGAGCAGGGAGAAGAAATAATCAGTGAATGTGAAGAAAGCACAATTAAAATTATCCAGTCTGATGAGCAGAAAGAAAGAAGAAAAAATGAACAGAGGCAAAGGGACCGGTGGGATGCTAACAGGCTTACCAATGTATTCATATGGGAGTCCCAGAAGGAGAACACAGAGAAAAAGCAGAAAGACTATATGAAGGTATAACAGCCAAAAACTTTCCAAACTTTATGAAATACATTAAGATAAACATCAAAAAACTCAATAAATTCCAAATAGGATAAACTCAGAGATCCACACTGAGCTACATTATATTCAGTCAGTAGATAAAAAGAGAGAATTTTGAAAGCACCAAGACACAAGCAATTTGTCATCTCACAGGATCCACAATAAGATAAACAATCAATTTCTAATAAAAAACAAAGGAGACGAGTGGGCAGTTAGGTGATCTATTTAAAACACTGAAATAAACAACTGTCAACCAAGAATAATACATTGGGTGAAACTGTCCTTCAAAAATGAAGGCCAATTAAGACATTCTCAAGTAGACAAAATCTAAGAGAGCTTGTCATTAGTAAACCTGCCCTTTAAGAAATACTGAATAGTGTCCATCAGGCTGAAATGAAAGGATGTTAGAGAGTAACTCAAAGTTACATGAAGAAACAAAAATCACTGGTAGAAGTAAGTAGAGAGGTATATATAAAAGCCCATATTGTTTTATTTGTGGTTTCTGATTCCTTTTTTTGTTTGCTATATGATTTGGAATTCCAATACATACAATAAAAACTTAAATCTATGTCAATAGAAATACAATATGTAAAGGTTTAAGTTGTGACAAAAATAACAGTTGCAGCAAGACAATTGTATACAAACAAAGTCTTTGTATGCTATGGAAGTGAAATGGTACTGATTCAAACTAAACTTAATAAAGTTATATAGTTAAGATATTAATTATAATCTCCAGGGCTTATCCTATGTGGAAAAGAAATCTTAAAAACATTTTTAAAAATGAGCAGTGAATCAAATCGGTACACTACAAAAAAATCAATTAAACACAAAAGAAAGCAGTAACAAGGAAATGAGGAACAAAATGATACAATAAATGGAAAACAAATAGTAAAAAAGAAGTAAGTCATTCCCAATTGGTAATCACTTTAAATGTAAATGGATTAACAGAAGGAAGGAAATAATAAAGATTTGAGCAGAGATTAAAATGAAATAGAGAATAAAAAACAATCGAATCAGTGACACCAAAAGTTGGTTCTTTGAAAAAAAAATCAACACAAGCAAGTATTTAGCTAGAGTGACCAAAAAAAGGGGAGAAGACACAAACACTGAAAATGAGAATTTAAAGTGGGGATATTACTGCAGACTTTCCAGAAATAAAAAGAACTGCAAAGAATATTATGAACAATTGTATGCCAATAAATTAGATAAACTATATGAAATGGACAAATTCCTAGAAGCACATAAATCACTTAAACTGACTTAAAAAGAAATGGAAAATCTCAACTAACCTATAGCAAATATAGAAATTGAATCAGTAATCAAAAAGACTCCAACAAAGAAAAGTGCAGAACTAAATGGCTTTCCTGGTGATTTCTACTGAGCATTTAAAGAAAAATGAACACCAATCCTTATCAAATTCTTCCAAGAAGTAGAAGAAGAGGGAACACATTCTAACTCACACCTATGAGGCCCTCATATCAAAGCCAGAAAAAGATACTACAGGAAAAGAAAACTACAGACAATATGCTTTATGAATATTGATGTAAAAATCCTCAATCAAATACTAGCAAATTCAGCAGTCTATTAAAAGGATTATACACCATGGCAAAGGGGAATTTATCTCAGGAATGCAAGAGTAGTTCAAAGAAAATTAATCAAACAAAATTAATCTATGAATGCATGATGGATAAAGAAAATGTGATATATGTGTAATGGAATACTAGCCAGCCATAAAAAGAAGGAAATCCTGGGACGCCTGGGTGGCTCAGTGGGTTAAGCCTCTGCCTTCGGCTCAGGTCATGATCTCGGGGTCCTGGGATCGAGTCCCGCATCGGGCTCTCTGCTCAGCAGGGAGCCTGCTTCCCCTTCTCTCTCTGCCTGCCTCTCTGCCTACTTGTGATTTCTGTCTGTCAAATAAATAAATAAAATCTTTAAAAAAAAAAAAAAAAAAAAAAAAGAAGGAAATCCTACCATTTGAAACAACATGGACAGACCTTGAGGGTATTATGTAAAGTGAAATATGTCAGAGAAGGCAAATACTGTATGATTTTGCTTATATGTGGAATCTAAAAGAAAAAAATCAAAATTCATAAAGAGATCAGATTTCTGGTTACCACAGGCAGAGACTGGATAATGGGGGAATTAAATGAAGGTGGTCAAAAGGTACAAACTTTAAGTTATGAAATAAATACATATTAGGGGTTAGTGTACAACATGACAACTATAGGTAATGCAACTGTCTAGCTTATTTGAAAGTTGCTAAGAGAACAGATCCTAAAAGTTCTCATCATGGGGGGGGGAAACCCTCTTTTTTATCTTCTTTTTTGTAACTATACGAGACCATGGATGTTAACTAAACATACTGTGGTAACTATTTTGCAATATATGTAAACCACATCATTATACCATATACTTTAAACTTATACAATGCTGTATGTCAATTATTTCTCTTTTTTAAAAGATTTTATTTATTCATTTGACAGACAGAGATCACAAGTAGGCAGAGAGGCAGAGAGAGAGGAATGGAAGCAGGCAAGGGAAGCAGGCTCCCCGCTGAGCAGAGAGCCCGATGTGGGGCTTGATCCCAGGACCTTGAGATCATGACCTGAGCAGAAGGCAGCGGCTTTAACCCACTGAG